CGACAAAATGGAGTCTCTTTTGCCGTCTTCTCTCTTACAACAGTTGTCTCGCATTTGAACACAAATTGTGACCAAAAATTAATTTAAACACAAAATTCTCAAAACTATTTATTTAAAGCTTTTCTCTGAAATAAACTCTAATTCATTGCTATCGATGTCTTCTTCGGCGCCTCCTTCGCCTCGCTGTCCGCCGACTGCGGCTTTTGCAGCCTTTCTTCGCACTCGAGCGGCCTTTCCGTCGTCTCCTTCGCTTCTTGCGCTTCGATCCCATCACTTGTTCCGTAAGCTCTCGTCTGCGCTTCTTCGAGAAGGCGGTGTTCACTCTCTCGGCGGACATTGTCTCCGAATCAATGTCTTGGTCGCTCTCGTCGTCGGAACTCATGTTTACTGTGTTTTGAATTTGGCGCCAATTGTCGGCCGCACGCGAGACACAATGATTGCAAATGACTTTTATTTGAATTAATGTTACAATAAATACGTGAAAAACAATGAAATTATCGCTGCTTTCGCGCGAACGACAGGAAGATCTGCTCCAAAGTCGTGTCACTGATGACGTAATCCTCTAAACTGTACTTCGNAAATGACTTTTATTTGAATTAATGTTACAATAAATACGTGAAAAACAATGAAATTATCGCTGCTTTCGCGCGAACGACAGGAAGATCTGCTCCAAAGTCGTGTCACTGATGACGTAATCCTCTAAACTGTACTTCGCTTTCATGTCTTCCATCGCCGCAAACATCGACGACCACAGCGTTCGCGTGTCTGCGATGTGATAGTGGAGCAGACACTGGTGCACGTCCTTCAGCACCGCCGACGGCATCCGCTTCTGGAACTCCGTCTGGATGTCCGCCATATACGCCGACTGATCCACTGGTGACAGAACACAGGTGTGAAAACACGACCACTTACTCAACAACACATTATGAATACCCAAATCCCGGCGCAGTTTCACCATAACCGTGAATCCCTGGCCGAACTTTGTGCGCAAGTGCTGAACGGATCCCAAGCACTGGAACTGGCCGTTCACCATAATGGCCACTCGCGAGCACAGGGCTTCGCACTCCTCCATCGAGTGTGACGTCAGAATGAAGGCCGAACCGTAGCGCTCCTGAAGCGACGCCAGAGTCGCCCATATCTTGCGTCTCGCCGTCGGATCCACGCCTGACGTGGGCTCGTCTGCCACACAAAGCAAAGGTCAGACATGGGCTCAAAGGGCACCGAAACTCACCCAAGAAGATGACGGGAGGGGCGGCGCAGAGCGCGATGGCGAGCGACAGTTTGCGTTTGTTGCCTCCGCTGTAGGTTTGCGTGCATTTGTCCACGTGTTTGCCCAAATCAACCATTGCCACCAAATCGCGCACGTAGTTCCCGATCACCCGTTCCTTCATTCCCCGCAACCGACAAAACATATACAGAGTCTCTCTTCCGGTCATTCTGTTGAGCAAAGCGTCGAATTGCGGACAATAGCCGATCTGTTTCTGAAACGCCTTCAACTCCTGTCGCAATCCTAGCCCCTGGATCCACGCGTTGCCCTCCGAAAGGGTCTCGTCGCCGGTCAGCATCCGGAAAGTGGTCGTCTTTCCGGCGCCGTTCACTCCCAAGAGTCCGAAACACTCCTCTTTATGGACGCCGAAACTCAAGTGATCGACGGCTTGAAAGGGAATCAATTTCCCGAACCTTTTGCTCAAATCGTTCACAACTATCGCGTCGTTCGACAGGTGTCCGAAATTTTGCGTCAAATCCGCGATCCGCCGCTTCTCCGCCGTCACGTCCGAGTCCTCGGCGGCCATTGGCTGAACCCACTGACCAGTGGTCACGTCAATCATCACTCCGTTCGTCGTCGGCTTTTCCGAAGTCTTGCCATTCTTGCGACGGTTCTCGAAGAAGTAGAGAATGCGCTCAAAGTTGCCTTCAATGAGCCACAGAAGGAAGAGAAAGAAGACACCGGTTCCTATGAGGAAGAGGAACTCGACGGCCACTCCTATAATGAGAAGAGTTAGTCTTTTTGTGGCCCAAAATCGAGAGACAAACCCTTGTCGTCGAAGCGAAGAGTGTTGAGTTCGTAATAACAATCGCCATCCTTGTGGCACAAGTCTTCACAACAGCCGTAATAGGGGTCGTCTTTCCTGAGCCCCGGCATACAGGCTTTGATGAGCAGTTCGGGCGAAGAGTCTCTGCAGGCCTTCTGATAAGAGCCCACTTTGTAGAGCTTCTGAATGCCGTAACTCATGGAGAAGACGGGCAGAATTCGCGACGCCATTATCAAGGCGTCCAAAGTCTCTCGAGTCATGACTACATTTGATTAGAAAATTTGGTAAAATATAACACAAATGAAATAAATGTCAATTCATTACATGTGGAGCCAAAGGAGATCATGAGGTCGAGAATGCCTAAAGTGAGCACAAGAACCAAACCCGTGAGCAGCAAAATGATTACCAGAACCGCATAACCCGTCGACGGCAACTTCAGACGCAGAGAGAACAGGTATGACAGTGGAATGGCCGACACGCCGAACAAGAAGAACATGAGGAAGAGTCCGACGCCGTTGCTCGCTGTGGGAGGAAAGGCGGGTCAGTGGCGGGAAAGGCTTTGATATAAATGGGACTCACTGGAGCCGATGAACACTTTGTTCCAGTCGAAGATGGCGAATATGATGAAGAGGAAGATGGAAGCGATGAAATGGTTGATGAGGTCGAAGAGATAACTGGCCGCCCAGAAGGTGGTGCTCGAGATGCCAGTCATGAGTTGCAAGAGCTTGGAGTTGGAGACGCGCTCGTGGATCGGGAAGAGGACATACGAGGCGCCGATGAGCGGCACTGTGAGCGGCACCAGAAGCAGACACGACACGATCAAAGTGATCCTCACCATCTTTATGGCTGTCATCGTGTGGTCGGAGGCGACGGGATGGTTGTGGATCTCAATGGTGGGCTTCTCGTCGGGAAGCAAATACTGCAGAAGCGATTCGTACAACAGGTTCAGCGATTGTGGCAAAGAGTGGACGCCCTCTTTGTTATACCACGGCGTCAACTGCAACTTCTTCTTCTCGCCGCTGATCTCTGCGCCCATCAAATAAGTCTTCAGATATCGGGGAATGTCTGCAACGAGTTTCGGGTCGCGAAGCGTCCAATTGTTGGGATTCTCTGTCGAAACAAACATTTAGTTTCGGTTTGACTTTGAATTTCAATAATACCTGTGATGGGAGTGACGGACACTTGTTGTCGAGTTTTGGCCACCGACTCGTACGCAGAGGTCAGCGACGAATCGACCGAAGATCTGATGAAGCCGTCGGTCTTTCCGTAGAGGTTTGAACTCAAATTCAAGTCTCTGACCTCTTCGACCAGACTCTTCTTGATGGACTGATCCAACAGAAGAATACACATGAAGAGAAGGCCGGGAACGACAGACTGGAGCACAACCATAGGCCAGTAGCGTTTGGCGAAGTGGAAGCGCTTCAGAAACAGAGCCCAAGACTCTTCTTGATGGACTGATCCAACAGAAGAATACACATGAAGAGAAGGCCGGGAACGACAGACTGGAGCACAACCATAGGCCAGTAGCGTTTGGCGAAGTGGAAGCGCTTAAGAAACAGAGCTCTGAAGTGTTGGAACCAAAGCGCGAATCCCGTGTTCTTCTCGACGGTGGCGAACAGAATGTCATTGGAGTCGACGTCCAGCGTCTGTTTGGAGCCGTGGTGTCCGTTGAGCGCGACATCTGGCGCCTCGAACTCATTGCCCACGCGAATGAAGACATCCTCCATTGTGGTGACAGTGAGTCCGCACGTGTCGACATCCAGTTCCGCTTTTCTGGACTCCAATTGCGAGAAGAGTTGCGCCAAAAGAGGACTCGAATTCTGCGTTTCGTCCGTTTTGTCGTCGCTTTCCAACGAATAAATGATTTCCGAATGGATTTCGCTTTTGATGGAAGCGTTCGGCAGATATTGTCTCACAATTGACAGCACTTTTTGAGCCGAGAATTTCGATCCCTTCGCGATCCGCAACTGATAGCCGGCGCCGAACGCCTTCTTCAGAAACATCGGAGTTCCGCAACACTTGACGCCGCCTTCGCTCATAATCGCGATCCGATCGCCCAATTGCTGCGCAAAGACACGGATCAGCTACTCTTCAATTGTGATAATTATTCACGACTTACGTCCGCCTCTTCCATGTAATGAGTGGTCAGAAGAATAGTGCGCTCCTCACGGATGTTCTGCAGCACATCCCAGATGTGACGTCTGGCCTCGGGATCCATTCCACTCGTGGGCTCGTCGAGGATCAGGATCTTGGAGTTGGCCACCATTGCGATCCCCAGACACAGTTTGCGTTTCATTCCTCCCGACAGCTGATTGGCCAATGCGTTGCGTTTGTCGGCCAACGAAATGACGCCCAGAATGTGATCCACTTCGCGGTCTATGTCTGCAGTCGGGTGGTCCTTGAGTACGGCGTAAAGTCTCAGGTGTTCCGCAACCGACAGCTCGTTGTATACAATGTTATCCTAAGGAACAGATTGTCACTCAAACTGATTCATGGCTTCTCTCTCTTGAGGCCAAACCTGAGGACACAACGCCATACTTCTGCGCGCCTCCTTCGTCTCCGTGCGAATGTCGTAGCCGTCAATGAGGGCAGTTCCCTGCGAGGGCGGGAAGATGCCGGTGATCATGTTCATGGTGGTGGTCTTGCCGGCGCCGTTGTGTCCCAACAGTACAGTTATCTGTCCGCAGTATATGTTGAGCGACACGTCATTGACGGCCACTTTCTTTACGCCGCGAAAGACTTTACGCAAGTGTTGACACTTAATGCCTACTTTCGCGTTCGTCGGCTCTCTCTCGAAGTGATTGGCGTTGTGGTCGACAGCGGAGTTGTCTACCGGTGCCGTGCGATTGTGGTCTCTGTTGGGCAGCCAATAGGATGGCAGGAAGGGGTAGTGGAGGGGTTTGGGAATTCCGAACTGAAACGGCCACACGTTGTCGACGTACCAAATGAGGAGACCGTAGAAGAAGATGGAAATGAACTGCAATAACATGACGTATCCGACGCTCATGTGTCCGAAATTGGGCACTTCGTCCCACAGATTATTCCAGGAGACTCCGTAGCCGTTGGACTCGCATTTGGACATCAGGCCGAAGATCCAGCCCATGGCTGCGTTCGGTAACATACACGTGAGTATTCGCCACGGATGGGTGGCCTCGATGTCGAGGTTGGCGTTATAGGTGGGGTCCAAGAGGTTCATCGGAACCGATTGCGAGAGCATGAAGAGCAGCACAGAGACGACGACTGCAATGATTGGACGGTTGAAGACTGTCGTCAACACCATTGACGACAGGATTGACGTAATGTTGAAGAGGACGAGCGCCACGAAGAAGATCCAACCGTTCGAGTAGAGGACATACGGCAGGGCTCCGAAGCCGTAGATGTAGAGCACAGTATTGACAGCGCTCTGGACGACCATCACGACGAAGAAGCTGATGAAATGCGAGCCCCAAAAGACCCAATCACTCATTCCCATCATTCGCAGCATTTCCTTGGCTTTGGCCACCTTCTCGTCGGTGATTCGTTTGACAATCAGCGGACAAATTATGACATAACCCGTCACTATCATCATTCCCGCCATTTGCACGCCAGACAAGCCTCCTTCTGTGGTTCACAGGAAATGCGTGTAAGACAAGGAACTGGCGATAAAGCAAACAAACCGTTTCCAGAGATCTCCAGATATTTGGGATAAGGGATGCGATGAGTGGACACTTGACTCACTTCCAGATCCCTCGCCTTTCCGGCCATCAGTTGTTCGACGAAGCGTTCGCTGAGCGCTATTTGAAGGGAAGTGAAGCCGTCCTCATAAGTGGTCGAATCTCCAGTCGGTTTAGTGGCCATATCGTCGGCGAACGTCTGCTTCACTAATTTCACCATTTCGTCGTTTTTGACGCGAATCTTGACTTTCAAGCTCTGCTTTGAGTCCGGCTTTTCGATGAACTCAACGCCGTATTCATACTTCTCTTCCTCCGATTTGTAGAGTTTTGTCGCCAACTCGTCGGCAGTGCTGAAGCCCTTCACGGCTTTCAACCGGTATTTGCTTTCGAATTCCCGCATAAACTCGTTCGTCGCCGAGTTGTTGGGCGCGTAGAACACAGAGTAGCGGCTCCTATTGGTTCCCTCTCCCGCCCAGAACAGGTCGGCGATCGAGAAGTTCTTCTGCTGATCGGCTCTGTCGAAGAGCACGGGACCCGTCCACGACTCCTGTCTGTCCAGCGACTGGCCTTTTGTGGTGTTGTATCGCACGTAAGCCATGATGAGAGTGAGGGCGATGGGGAAGAGGAGTTCGAAGAGGGCGGACACCCAATGCCTCTTTCGGATAATCCATGACTTCCACAATAGGATCCACAACTGTTTGAGCACAAGAGGCGCCATTCTCTAAGGGCTGCCGATTCACAGTCAATCAAAACCCCAAAGAATTTCTCGTGATATTTATATACCTTTTGATCGCCAAAAGAGATAAGACTTTCACTGAAAAGGTGTCACCAAAAGAAATGAAAGCAATGCTTCTCTTCAGCAATACTTTAAGCAGTTGTCGACAATTATAGTGACTCTCGGCTTCCGCTTGCGAACCACTCTTCCCTTCAGACGCGGGTCCGACCCAACAGTCGACTCCCGAGCTCTGGTTTGGCCGCAAAGCCGAGCCCTCCCTTTCCCTGCACTAAAGAGTAGTGCAAAACGATTACATAGTAGTCTGACATGTGATGCAATAGTGTGTTAAACGCAATCAATGGGTTTCTATAGAGAATGCTATTGTTAAGTGTCAAGGTTTAGTAATACTGTTTAACGCAATATTAATATTACTCTTAAGACATATTCACGTATCGATCGCTTCGTTTGAATTGAATTCATTGTTTATTTCAATGTTTGGACAGAAATTGTGACATTTATTGCAAATATTTGTATTTGCATTTTTAATGAGGTTCCAAAACTTCGGTCAAACTTTTGTTTAGTCCACAGTGTCTATGATTGGCATTCATTAATGGTGTGATAAATGAATCATCATTTGATTGATTTCCATAAAAAAGAGATCATTGGGTGTAAGAGTTTGGCAAATATTTGAGTCATTATCTCATAGAAAACAATTACAAAACCTAATCCTTTGCACACATTGTATTCGTGCGTACGATTAGTGCTTTCGGTTTATCTCTACTCTCTTTCATTGCTCAGACTTTGTTTGCAATAAAACACAAAATTGTCATAAGTTTAGTAAATGTGATTTATTTGAATAACTCTTATCATTGAGTCCTTTTGTAGTAATGAAAACATTACGGATTCTTTGCTATAGTTTTGACAGAATTTTGGTCAATGAATCACAATTGCAATAGATATGAGTTTAATGTGATGTCAGTTTATCACTCATGCCTCGTTTGCCTACCGGTGTTTCAATACACTAACCGTTGTAATACCGGCGCCACAATAGACGCACTTTAGCTAATTTTAGTTCAATGAAATCATTTATTATGATTTGTTAACAATTGATTCATCTCACGACTGTTTGTCACATTAATCATGTTTTTATTGGAGTATATAAACAATTCAAATACAAAACACTAATCAAACACTTTATAGAAAGTAATACAAAAATTATTCACGGCTTTGATTTGTGAACATTTGCCAAATGTTTGCTCAGTTTATAATCACTTAAATAGGTTTTCATGCATTTCTTACAATTCAATTCCTTCCGAGCCTTCAATTTATGGCCTTTTGATCCCATTTTGGCTCTTCTTGAGGACAACTCGCGTCGAGAGTGTTCTCTCTGTAGATGTCTTTCAAATCCAGTCTTTGTTTTCAATGTCTTTCGACACACAAAACACTGCAAAACCTTCGGACACTTCCTCTTCTTCTTCACAGCGTTTGCAGACATTTGTGGCTTTGAGTGAAATCTCTTCAAATGTGCCACAAATCCGGCGCTCGTTTTATACGCCTTTCCGCACAAATGGTAATTACATTTGAATCTTATTTCCGACACTTTTCTGCCGCCCTTCCGTCCAACTGATCCCAGAGTCGACTTCATTGCGGGTCTCGAGTCGTGGCGCACGTCGTGGTCATCCGATTGCGGTTTGTCTTCTTCGGTGGCCAACAGTTGTCTGCGAATTGTCTTCAAATGCGATTCGCGAGCGATTAACTCGTTTTCATTGTCGTCTTCAACGGCGACCAACACTGCACTCAAACCGTCCACTTCTGCGCGCAAACCGACCAAAAGCCGCGAAACTCGTCTTAACTGCGACTCCGAGACCGCAGACGACACCAAATGGTCGTCAATGAGTTGTTCCGTCGCTAAGAAGCGACTCTTCAACACATCCATCCTTTCGCTGATCATTGCATACATTTTGGCCGCTCTTTGGTCTCAATCAATGGCACCAATACTTCACTGAAAGACGTCGGACTTCGGGTCTCAATGTCTGTCCAATCGATCGACGAATGAATGGTTTTCTCGTAAAATAACTGCAATTTTGCCACAAATTCAACAAAAATTTGATTTTTGTTCACATTTTTGGCCAAAAATCGCTTTTTGTTGCGAAACGCGATTTCTTTACAGTTTTCACTATTCATTGCTTTCTCTTTGAAATGCATTCAAAGTTGACTACAAATGGCTTTATTTGATTGAAATAACCTCTGAATTCAGATTTTCAACTATTTTCTCATCGATTTGACTATACTTTGACTCATTATAAGATTCATTCATTTGTTTCAAACCATTGTTTTATTCGTAAAATGCATTCATTGAACAGAACTTCGGTTACAATAATTGCATTCAATTAACGACAATATTGTTAGCATTTTATTCGCATTGAAATCAGCACTCATTGAGTGGTTTGCAACGACCGGTCTTCTCGTCCAACACTTCTCTCCCATCGCACACCAAATAGCAGTTAGGGTTACACCAGAAAGTGTTGCACGGATTGGGTTTCGGGTTCCGACACGTCGGCGGACACGGGTTCTGACAGACGCACCGCTTCCCATCGCTGCACACCTTTCCCTCGCAGCCTTCGAGTCATACCATTAGTACCATTGAAAGCTAATTACTTATAATACCTTTGATTGTCGTCTCATTGGATCCGCAATTAGTCTCGTAAATGAAAACTAATATCAAAATCAAACCAAAAACACTTTTTCTCCACATTTCGACAATTAGTGAAAAGAACGCAGAAATACTTCCTTTGCTCTCATTATTGCATTCAATACTCTATTTGTTTATTCAGTTGTTTTCCAAAACTTTTGTTATAAAAACTCCTTTTATTTAAAAAAATTTTATAATATTTTGTACTCATTGTATAAATGATTTCTAAGCGTTTACTTCTTCTTTGAGTAGTCATACCATCCTTTCCCGCTCTTGCGTCCCAGCCTTCCCTCGGACACCAGTTTGTTGACGAGTTTGGATTCAGTCATTTCCGGGAGCGACGAGTCTTTCCTTTTAGCCCAGGCGTCGGTAATGAACTTCCCGGTGTCCAGACCTGTCATATCCATCAACTCGAACGGTCCCATCGGATAGCCGGCGCCCAACTTCATGGCTGTGTCCACGTCCTGGAAGGAGGCGTCGCCCCTCTCCACCATTTTGACGGCTTCCCCCGAGTAGGGAATGAGGAGTCGGTTGACGATGAATCCGGGCGTGTCTTTGCACAAAACGCTCACTTTCTGGATGTCGGCCACGAACTCCTTCAGCGCGTCCACCGTTTGCTGACTTGTGGTCACGTTTTTGATGATCTCCACGAGTCTCATGAGTGGCACCGGATTGAAGAAGTGGAGTCCTCCGTACCGTTCCTGCGCCTCCACATTGACGCCAATCTCCTGCACCGACAGAGAGGACGTGTTGGTCACGAATATCACCGAATCGTTGCCTTTGAACTGTTGGCTGAGATTGGCGAAGATCTTCTGTTTGGCGTCAAGGAGTTCGGGAATCGCTTCGACTATCAGAAGGTTTTTATCGGCTTTCGGTTCAATCTTTTGCGTGAAATGAATAGAATTGACGGCTTTGTCGACGCTCTCGATGTTTATGAGCTTTTTTGAGTGCAGTTTCTGAACACTGCTTTCGATGCCTTTCCTCGAGATCTCCAATTGCTTTTGGTTCACGTCTTGCAGAGTAATTGTGTTGAATTTGCCGGACGTGGCGCACGACTGGGCGATCCCGGAGCCCATGAGACCGCCGCCGATGATCAACACATTCTCCACGCGCTGTCGGGAAGCGCTCGTCGAGAAGTTGTGTCTGAGTTGAGCGCAACTTTGGCTCACAAATGGTCTCACTTTTGATGGCAACATATTTGGGAATAAAAACTCAAACTCGAGCCACGACTACACTCTTCACTCGTCTTATATCGACTGAAATGTACATTAAATACTATTAATAACTAACTGTCTATCACTTGTTTACATTGAGTTTAAAACTTGATTGACTTCAAAATGCAAAGTCTGGAACTCAATGCCAACTGATTATTGTGTACTTGTTTTGAGTCGTTTTGAGTACATTATCGTCACTAAAGCCTAAAAACCATGTTTATGTGGTGCTGGGACATGTTTTAATTGCAATTTCTATTAAATAATTACATTAAATAGATAACTGACATATTTATTATGCAAATTAATTTTATTTAAATTAATATCAAATAATACTTTTAATGGAAAAAAGAAAACAATATTTCAAATAAACAATAACTAATAAAATCTTTAAGTAATGCTATTGACTCGAAGTAAATAACAATTTAAATAATGGCCATAAAATTTAAATTATTACAAACAAAGCTTAACTCATAGAATATTCCATTTCCCAGAATTTTTATTACTGTATAATAATGATTATGAATAAGAATTTTATTGAATTTCTTTGTTATTTATTACAATAAAATTTTTTATGAATTCTTAATATTATTTATTATTTGCATATAAATTGTTTGTTTATTAAACAACCGCTCATTTGTGGTCACAATGTGGACAATACCTGTTGTCGAGTCAATCCCTCCGACGCCCGACGAAAAGGATACGAAAATCAATGTTAAAATTCAAACTCTGGTCACAGATTTTGACGATAGGAACGGGAACTCTGTTCACAAACAAGTCTTATTAGGGTTTGTATTAGGAGTCGGATTTCTGTCTGGCGCACTTTACTTAGTATTAAGTAACAGAATACGACTGTCCGGTCCCATTGTACCTCAAGATTTACAACTCTTTCATCAGCGACTGGAATATGTGCTCAGGTATGCAAACGAGTGTCTACTTTATGTCAATACTGTACCTCTTAATTATTATTTTAGGTTTCAGTGCTTGTCTTTGGTTCCCATCATTTTCAATGTGTTTCTGGTGTTTATGCGAACCATCACTTCATTGACAGATGAAGACAACGATAGTATAAAGAGATGTCTTTCCAAACGATTGCAAGACTCGTCTCAACTGTTCCTGATGTCAGTCTCTTCTCAGATGATTTTGGCGGTCAATATGACGGCCGAAGAAGTCATTGTTTTCTGTCCTCTTATGTCAGTCGCCTTTTTCATCGGACGCATCGCTTCTGCATTTGGTGTGAAATACTGGAGCTTTGGTTTTGGACTTTCTTTTGTTCCCTCACTTATTGCTGTCTTTTACACAACTTTGGGACCTTTTATCCACTTAAATAAGGAAGTTTTGTTAGTTTTCAACCTATTTCTTTTAGTTCTTATTCTCTTTTTAGAGTAGTTTAACATCAAACATAACTTCTGATTAAGTTGAGTGCTTCTTTACGCTTCTAATGAGTTATTTAACAAATGTTTGCTTTAATTTTGAATGAATTTAATAAAAAATAAAATTAAAAACTTCTTATTTATAAACTTTAAATCATAGTTTATTTGACAATTTATTTAGACTTTATTTTCGGAAACTTTTCTTTCTGTGAATTAGTTGACCCAAAATACCGTTCACTCTATTATGCCATTTCCAACACCTTTCCAGTCGTATTGTAGGCGCCGTTGAATGTCATAAGAGCCTCTGCTGGATACTGTACTGTACTTGTTCAGATTATTTTATTTTGTCAATAAATGTTATTCAGAGTAAAGATTTGTAATAAATGAGAGTTTTATTGTTTTAGTTAAGAGTTTATATATTTTTATTGAATTCATAAATAATTGTTCAAACTTTGAAAGGTTTCAATTCATTTCCAATGCTATAACCGGTTAATCGGTTCCAATCGAGCTTCTGCTGTATGACCGGCAGTGCCCGCCGTAGGGCTTTGAAAGTGGTCTCCGACATAGTCCGGTAGTTGTCCGATACGGCCGTCTGGTACTCACTCTCCGCCTCTTCCACCAAACGTCTCATCTCTTCTGCCGTTTGCTTCTCATTCTGAAAGCACACAAAAGGTTTGATCCGATTTTCACATCGCGTAAAAAGACTCACAGAAATCGTAATCTGTTTTTGAATGTCTTTAGAGCTGAAGAACTGAACGTTTCCGTCTTCATAGTAGTGGACCTGCGCTTTGATGACTCCCTTCAGCTCCGCTCGAGAACCCGACCCCTCGAACACAACACTCCATACGGAACGCCACTTTCCGTTGCTGTGGTTTTCATGAAATTATTTAAAGAGTTGTTGTCGTAGTGAAAGATTATTTACCAGTAGTTCTTGGGCTGATAGGTATGTCCTTCAATACAGGCCGTGAGACTGATTTGTCCGTTTTTACTAAACCCAAACACAGCACAAACACCGTTGGGGTAGTGATCGGTACAGTATTTGAGCCAAACCTCGTCCAGAGCTGCCCTCCAGGGCTCACTTAAGGGGTCGGGTTTCCAGGGCTCGTAGTCAGAGACGT